AAGTCTGTGTCCAGTCCTATTTCCTGAAGTGTCTCTCCTATGTTTTCTTTAAGAAGTTTTTATCTTCTCTTTATCATATACATCATTTATATTAGGCTCAACTTTTTTTCCCATAAAAGAAGTAAGCATTAGGGAAGAGGGACAATCGGTACACAAAGTATAAAGAAAAACAAAGGGTGTGGAGATAGCCCTTGGATCACAAATTAGACAGCACTAATTTTTGAAGCTGCTTTAAAAATAATTGTCTTTCATTTTATTTTTTTAATTAGTTAGTTAGTTTTTGGCAGCTGGCTGATAAGGGGAACCAAAACCTTGACCTTGGTGTTACAAGGCCATGCTCTAACCAACTGAGCTGACTAGCCAGCCCTGTTTTTCATTATAAAGGCGTGTGATTATTGCATTGCATAAGTTTTCTTTCAATATTTTTTCCTGTGTATGTATATGTGCATATTTATATATTTAGTAATGCATTGATATTCTTTTATATGCTAATATTTTTCATTCAAGTACATTTCTTGTTAAATATTCTTTATACCATAATTTATCTCATCAGTCCCAACTTGTTGAACATTTGATATTTTTTTATTTCGTCAATAAGAAAAAATGTTGCAAATGACATAGTTTCACCCCATCCCCTATAAAGTCTCTAGGTTAAATTAGCAGATAATTGAAGTTTCGGGCCAAAGAATAAGAATGTTTTATGAGAGAGCACAGATTCTTTTAATGCTCTAGCTTAAGACTTATTGTGAAGATGAAGAATGAGATAATGAACCCTAGTACATGTCATGGACTCATTCTTTCATTTTAAATGTTTCTTTAGAAATGGTTCACCAAATCACCAGCCAGAGCCTCCCCCTCCAGTCACAGATGTAAGTTGAAAGTTGAATGTCAGTTATTTGCAATGTCTAAGAATATTTTGATGACCATACAATTCAGTAGAAATGCCCAACTTTGAGGGAGTATTATTTATTCATTCATTAAAAAAACATTTATTGAATTTTGACTGTGAACCAGATATTGCACGAGGGACTGGAGATATGAAACAAGTAATGGAGGACCCTTGCATTTGAGGAGCTTACAGTGGGGAAGATAAGGGTAGAACTCCATGGGCATCTTGACTGGTTAGAGAAAGAGTGTAAACAACTTCCAAACAAATGAAGCATGTTTGAGTGTGGGTGTGTGTGGCTGTCTTTGGTTATGTGTTACCCAATGAAGTAACAGATCAATCTATTTAGTTACTAAAAAAATTGCTTTCTCCCTTTCAGAACCTCTTGCCAACAACCACACCTCAGGAAGCTCAACAGTGGTTGCATCGAAACCGCTTTTCTACTTTCACATGGCTTTTCACAAACTTCTCAGGTTAAATTTGTTTTTCCTTTTGTTTTTCCCAGCAGGGGCCATTCCTTTCCATTCTGGAGCCTCCTGGTATCCATGTGAGATTTGTATGTGTCTGTGTGATCTTAGTACAGTTTTCTAGATTTTATAGAACTCTTCAGAGTTTTTCACCAGCTGCAACTATGCTGTGAAGTACTTATTCCATACAACACTTCTAAAAATGTACATACATTCCCTATAATATTTTATCAAGAGGCATTTGCAGGTAGTCTGAAATGTCTCCCTTGATATCATATATTGTATTTTACTTACATATCTACTTTTATTTAGCACCTTCTGTGTACCAGGTGTGGTAGGAATACACAAATGTATAAGGCATACTTCCTGATCAAAGAGCTCATTCATCGGGGCCGGCCCGGTGGCGCACTGGATAGTGCGCCGCTTGGGAAGCGCAGCG